AAACCATAGAGAGAAAACAACAAGAAGAGAGGGACAAAATGTAGAACAAATAATGTATGTCTATTCTATTAAAGTTAAAGTTAAAGTTCTATTAAAGGGCCCCCTGCCAGTCTTTGCCTTTGGCCCCACATTTCCTACATCCGCCCCTGATTGTAGGCCATTTTAAAGAGACAAAGAAGCAGTTCCATTGAAAAACAATGATTGAACTCAATTCTGATAAAAATATTTCACAAATCATTTTGAACACAGTATGACTATAGGAAACCATGGTGGAGGCGGCATCATGCTGTGAGGAGGCTTAACAACAGCAAGCTGCAAGTACCTGCTCTATGCATCCTTCTTTATTTATTTATTTGTATCTCTTAGACAGTTTTAACATCACTTACCTGCTTTAACAATTTAGACTATTCGTTTGTTTGTATGGATGTATGACAATGACCCTATCTATATAGATACATAAAAAAAAGAATGATGAAATACAGACATTTGGAGGATAAGACAGGGCCTGCCAAACTAATTAAATTGTAATTGGTTTTTATTAGAGTGAGACTAAGCTAATTAAAGCCTGTGGCCTTCAATTCTTCTACAAAAAGTCCTGATTGTATATAGTGTTCAAACTGCTACTTGTCTGTATCTTCTTCTTTTTAAGTATTTGAAATACATTCTATAAAAATAGAAACTATTTTAACCTCGAATCAAAAGTGTCTTCATGATGGATGACCTGTAAGCCTTTTGCTCCCCTGTGTGGAAGCATTTTACAGTAGAGCAGATAAATTCATAAAAACTGAGAATGGCCACACAAGAAAAGAAAGAAGCAAAAAAAAAATAATAATAATAATAATAATAAAGAAGAAATAAGAAAAAAAGAAATAAAAAAAATACATATATGTTGTGGTCCAGCTTTGATGACACAAAGAAAAATGGAAATCCACAAAGGTCACAGATGCACCATGGACTAATTTTACACAGGCAAAACAAAACAAAAATTCCAGATAAACTTATTTAGTTTTCTCAGTTTATTTTCTCCTCAGGCCAGCAAACAGAAAAAGACAAACATTTCCTCCATGTTTCTGTTGTGTTGGTAAAAAACAAACAAACCATACACCCACTCAGATGCATGCTGGTCCTAACATTGACAGACTAATTATAAAAATAATTCACCCGAATTAATCATAACTAACCAAAAACAAAGGAACATGACTAAATAACCAAAAAAATAATCTCATAACAGATATCAAACAATAAAGTAGAATAAACTTAGCTAGATTATGCACAAAAAGAAAAAACTTGGTTGATTATTAACAAAAATAATTGGCTCCTATATATATATATATATATATATATATATATATATATATATATATATA